TTTTGTGAGATTGTTTATCCTATGGTAGCACTCAAAATATTCTGGTTTTTACTGGAGGTGTTTTAAACCCTTAAAAAAATTAATTGCAATAATAAGTATGACATTGGCATCTACTGGATGAAGTACTGTAAGTACTGTTAATACTGCACAACTTATGGGCCCTATAAATTGCTGTGTAACATCTGTTCTAGGACATGAGCCTCTAGCAGGAAGATTGTGGATATCTTTCCAAGATATTCCAAGAACTACTATGTGCCACCCTGGGAAGATGGCAGTAGTTTTGTGATGAACCCCAAAATACTGCTGCATAAGATATTGCTAGGAAAATAAAATTTGTAAACACAACACTGTTCCACTGTACTGGATTTACCACACTGCACTCAGGTGTTTTTCCTTAGAATATTACAATGTAAAATTGCTGAGACAACTATTGAATTAGATGGACCCAGAGGACAAAAGATTTAAAACTTCAGACTTTCAGCAACTGGGATAGAAGGACAAGAAGAAAAAAAGCTTCAAAGTAATTTCCAGTGAGACTGACTCTAACACTGCCACCATCCTGTATGAAAGCAGCTGTATGAAAGCGAGGGCACTTCCCATTTTATTTCAGGGAATCTCCAGTCTCTACACTTGGCACCTCAAAGAAGCTCAGTTTAATATGCTTCAAAAGAATTAAAAATTCATCCTCCCCTTTATCTCAGATATCCTTATGATGAGTTTTCGAGCACTGTCAGACATGAGGAAGTGATTATCTGAGATAAATTTGTTTGTATCATTTCTTGATCACAAATGATACCAAGAACAGAAAATATTTGCCTTCATAAATCAAAATTTTATAGCTATCCTAGCAATGAGTTACAGTACATTAGGATCTCAATCTACAAGCTGCTGATGAAAGATGAACTACACAGTTAATGATTTAATCAGTACACTGTGTTAATTACAAATGAAACAGAAATCAAGATGAAAATGAAATATAGAAACAGCACATATAGGACCGATCCAGCTTGCTTTTTTCACTATGGCATTCCTGTTTAAATGCAATGGGACTGGCTGCATGACTGAGGCAATGAGGGTTTAATCCTACTTATATTATCTCTCATAAAAAATATTTACATACTGCTGCCTGTAGTGTATTTTACAATATTCTCATTCTAGAGATTAACTCTATATCAAAGGAACAATATAAGAAGTTTCTAATGAAATCCAGAAGCGTTGCAAAAATCACTTTTTCGGTAATGTTCTCATTTGGGCTGCCTCATTAATCCCTTTAACCGCGGAACTCACATTTTAATTGCAGATAGTACCCAGGCTCCCAAGTATCCAGAAACAACTGTTCCTCCACTGCAAGCAGTCTGCAAATACCCACATTCTGTGGGCCCAGCTGTGGAGACAAGGACTAGGGGGAGCTGGTGGAAAGGCAGGACAGTGCCATGGTCAGGGTGCTGGCCAAGGCCCTGCCAGATCAGCTCCCCGGGGCTGCTCACAGGGGCAAGTGGTTCAGGCTCTCCGGGCTCGAGTTCTCCAAAGCCCTGGTAAAGCACTGCCCCACAAAGCACTGCAAGGGAAGATTAACCAAAACAGCAAAGTGAAGCCCACGTTCATACTTACAACTGTGACTGTAACAACAGCTTCATACAACCTTTTCATCCTCACACTTTACCTTAAAACCAAGCCCCTTTTTCTCCACACTTTCTGCTCTGCGGAGGAGCAGCTCCCAGAGGGAAGGCAACACTGGCTCTTGTCAGCTGATGCAGTAGGCACTGCTCCAGACACAATAATTTAAATAAGCCTTCTGATTTCTTCATGGTGTCAGAGTTTGTTTCATTTTTCACATGGCTTCAGGACCAGAAGTCCTTCAATTTACTTTTCTCTCTTGCCTCAGTCCTGTACCTCGTGCTGCCTGTGTGTACCTGGCTCCCAGCTGTAACACTCACAACTGTGATGTTGTTAGTGTTAAATGCATCTGGCACTGCTTTGAAGTAGTAATATAGAATTTTTCCACACTTCTGTGGATAAAACAAATCCCAGTGCTGATCAGCATTTAATTGTGCCCCAGGGATCTCTTCCTGCCCATATGTGCAGTGCACACAAGGAAGCATCTCCTGCTGGTGGTCCCACTGTAAGCTTATTAAACTCCTGACACCAGCTCACTTAAAAATTGTAAAAAATACAGGAGATTGAACAAGAACCCCAAAATCTTCACATCAAACTCCAGCAATTATGCAATAAATAAATAATACCCTGAGCACACACACACACACTTTGCTTCTCTGTCTTCTTTGATAGTTGTCCTAAACCAGACCCAGAAATGGGTGACCACACTGTGACCCTGTATTCTAGATTCAAGAATTCCTAAGGTAATTCGAGTATTTTCTGTTTTGCAGAAATCTAATCTGAGCTGAACATTTTCCATCCTTGCCAAGTGGCATGCACTCATACATATGTATAAAGTAGGTATATGTGTGTGTGTATCTTGCCACAAGGATGTAGTAGAAGCAATTAAACCCTTGATAATAAATGGTTCATCAGTCCGCAGGTGATGTACGATAAGTGATTGCTCCTGTAGGTAGTAATCAGCTGGTGCAATTGCTGAATTATAAATTCCCTCTGGGCTGATTGGATTTTATCAACAAGAAGCAGTGAAGGAAAAAAGAGTTTGGGGGTGAGGTTTTTTATAGTCTGAAACCTAATATTAGAAATTTGCCAATTGGAAGTGAGCGCCTTTCCCTTGAAGACACGCTCACGGTGACTGAACAGCTGTCAGAAAAATGTGACCATTTTCAGAGCAGCCTCTGGGACCACAGTGTATTCTGAGGCAAAGATTACATTCAAAGGGTTTTTTTCCCACCTCAACAAAAATACAAAATATGCAACTCTCATGTGTACAGAAACTGTTTTCCCATTGGCAGAAAAACATTCCATGAATCTATACAGGGACTGAAATAACGTGAGCACACTTAAATTAAAACACAGGAGCTAGTTACTGTTACCAGTTGGACATTCTGTCCATACAATTTAGGGATTATATTTGAAAATATTTGTGAGATCACCAGTTCCCCTGATAGGAGCCTGAGGAACTTCTGTGTATGTTGAATTTAGACCACTGATGAAAATAGAACAGCGTGTAAGTTTGAATAAAAGGGTTTTACCTGTTATCTATAGCATCCATTTTTCTGTTTTGTTTTTTTTTTAATTTTATTTTATTTTGTCACAAATTAGTTTTCTCTAAATCAAATATTAAAGCAGTAAATACAGATGTGGAAAATACTACCCATCAAAAATAAATCTAATCCAAAAAATCAAAAAGCTCTCCAAAGCAGTCTAACACTTATTTCTATGTCACAAAGTTTCTTAAGAAGTTTTTTTTAAAAAAAAAAAAAAATCTTTTTTTTTCTCACCTCTAAACATTTGTTACTAATATTCACAGAATCACAGAACAGTCTGAGCTAGAAGGGATACACAGGGATTATATTGTTACTTTTCAAAATATATTTAATGGAAAAAGGATATCCCAAAGAACATAAGGAACCAGAATTAATTTCAAATTGATGTTTAACAGCAGCACTGTGATTCTTTTCTTATTTTTCTGATGAAATTTCCCGTGAGCACAAGGTTGTGTCACCATTTCAGCTTCACTTTGGCAGGAGGGTAAAACTCCCAAAGTAAAAAGTGAAGCGAAAGGCTGTTTATTTTGACTTTTATGAGCGTGCATGAAAATCCTAATATGGTCATGGAATGCCATTACTTCCAAAAGTTATACCAAGCCCAAGCGCAACCCAATAGCTTACAGCAGCTATTCCAGCTGGGAAAAACAGTGAGACAATATGGTATCCAATCACACAGGTGGGAGTTGTCTGGTAGGGCAGAAAAATTATGGTTTTAAAGTAAAAACTTGTATGAAGAAATACAGCAGTAATATGGTGAAGTACAGATACAGCCAAATATCTTAAATTAGCTCTCACTGAGGAGGTTCACGTGGCTCCCCAACATGGACTCACACAGGAATCAAGTACCTGGCTGTGCTTCCAGAGTCAAGCAGGCAAAGCACGGTCCCCACAGCCCTTCTGCATCTTTCTCACCCAACAGAAACGGATTTTTTCAAGCCAAATTAAGTTTTTCATTTTTCCCACACAGGCCTTTCCCATACCTTCATCCCCATTCACTCTCACTGCCAGGAACCACCACGGCCTATCCCAGCTCATAAGCTGGGAAGGATTTTGCACTAATTCTCAGGAGTGTCACACCAGCTAAGACTCATGTGGGGCTCCAGCTGTTGGCTGCTTAAGGAGGAGCAGGATGTGCACACTTGGCAGGCAGCTCCCTAAACCATGCCCTAAACCTCTGCTGCATCTCCAGGCACTGGCATTTGCTTCCAGCATGGATTACAAAGACTGCTGGGTGAGCCTTGTAACCCTGCTGGATTTCCTCCTATATGCTACTACCTGTGTGCAAAAGTAATTGCACAGCATAATGTAAAATGAGACGTTAATTATTTATGTAAATCAAAAATAGTTCTCCCTCAATATCTATGCTTCTTTATATTTTACTTTGTACTCTTTTATTACAGCAATTCCTTCTCTTTCGGGTTTTTTTTTCCCCTTTCTTATAGTCTAAATGAAACTTTGGGATGTTTGGGACGTGGGTTATTTTAGAACATAATCAATACACAACTTGATGCTTTAGCATAACGAACAGCAGTAATAAGACCCTGGTATATGTAAGACAAATTAAAAAATGAGACCTTTGGAAACACAACAGAGGCATCAATGAATAGTTGAAGGGTCATCCCTGTTAATTTGATTATTCTGACACTGAGAAATCTACTTGCAGTGGAAAGTAGCAATTACAGTGTACTCAAATTGGACAGCAGCAAATTTGCAGCATAACCCAATAATCCAAGAGCAGCTTTACTGAATTTCCAAGCCATTGACCTGCCTGCTTTGTGGAAACTTCAGCAAAGAGGGTGATTGCTGTTTTGACATAAGAACAGAACTTACTGTAGAAGACAACTGTGCAGCTGGCTTAAAATCCTTTCATCTGGAGGTATGACATGGTTCTGCTTCCAGTGTAGAACTGCAGGGCTGTAAGAATATATATGGGATGGTGAAAATTATGCACAGAAAATTCACTGGTTTAGAAAGAACTTTTGCAGTACCATTCATTCACTCGAGAAAAGGCATTTTTGTAGCATGACAGCCAGGTATTGAGAGCCAAATTAAGGAAGAGAGGGAGGAAAAAGAAGTAATCTCTGGGAAAGGACTCTCCAAGGCCTGCATTGCTGAGTTAGCAGCCTGGAGTGTGTACCCTGAGTGGTTCTTCTGGGCTTCTCTGGAAATCACCAGACACTGCACAGAACATTTTCACACCACAGGGACACTCTTTGGAAAAACAGGGTGTAGGCTCCACATCACTTGGGTGCATTTGAAATGTGTGAGGCATAAGAATAAAAAGTGAGGGAAAAACAAGAAACAAAGCAGAAAGCCAGAGCCTGTCACTGGAGCCCTTCTTCAAACACAAACTGCAGACCAGTTACATCTGGTTTTAGTGGATTTTTACTGGATTTCTAACCTAGGTTTAACAAGTTACCACAGTGACCAGCACCCAGTGGTTCAGGTCACAGACATCATGTGCTGTCAACAGAGAAGTCTGTAAGTTTAATTCATCACATGCAACCCTACTACCCAAACCCCCGGTCAGATTTGTAATCCACAGCCAGTGGCCCAGGGAGAGAGGTGAGTAGCAGTGGGCAGTGAGAGGATCTAGAGGGGAGGGGAAATAAAAAAAAATAAAAAGGGCAACAGAAGTTCCTTCCAGCTTTGATATCCACTGCTTATTTTAATATGCCAATGTACAAATGATTAATCCAATTAATTAGCATACACAAGCCTTTTTCACTGACAAGCTTCCTTAGTGATCATTTTATGAGTGACATTCCTATACCATCAAGGAGATGAGCTGGAAGCTCTTTTATTATTTTTTTTAATGGAAGCTTAGAGTTCAGCAATCATTTGATATCTTCCATCGATCTTGTCACACACACTATTCAGAGCAGCATTTCTATCTGCAATATTAATGTACTTTTCTGGGTTTGACTGTTATCAGCCAGTCTTCAGAGCATCCCCCCAGATTTCCTTTTGGACTGACAATACATAATATGCTGTTTCTATTCCTTTTTGTTTTCCTTGTTTTTTAATTGTCACAAATGATCACATAGTTCAGAGTGTTTTCAGGGTTTTGAAGAGCACCTGGATTTCTGGTTTCAAAATACAGGAAAAAAAAAAAAAAAAAAAAGCAGCCATTTTGACCCCAGCCCAACCTTCCCACTTGGAAATCAACTGTGGAAGAACCACCAACACTCAGCTGTAGCATTTTCCCTGCCAATCTCAAAGCACCCTGCAAAAAGCCATGAATCATTCCTGCAAGGAAAGCTGCATGGCCTGGTCTGTCCCTGCTCTCAGGAGCAGACAGGACTGCAGGGGAGGGGAAGCTCCTTGTTCTCTCTGGGCAGCCATGGCTCAGCTCTGCTGAGTGCCAGCACCTCCCTGCTCAGCCAGGAGCATTCCTCTTTCCTAAGTGTATGGATAATGCAAGGCTCACACAGTGCAGGATGCGTGGCTATGGATTTCACACTGCTGAAGTTTGGAGCCATTTAGATTAGGTTGATTTAAGCCATCTGTATTAAAAATATACCTATTTCTGCAGAATTTCCCTTTGAACTACTTGCAAAGTCGTGTCCTGTAGGACATTAATTAACATGGTAAGGTACCGGTGCTAAATTACTTCTAAGTAGTTTGAATTCTGGATATTTACTTTCTACAGTGATAAGCAGCATAAGCCATATCCAGCAAAAACAGGAAACTTGTTGTTTGAAGTAATATAATTTTTAAAACCACATCAACAGCATAGCAGAATCAGGACATTTTTAAGGGAATAGGAGGAGGAGAGAGACAATATGAAAGAGAAAATATTCTCACTCTCTCCAAAATTCAAGCATGAGTGAAATGGGAAGAAAAAAAAAACACAAACACCAAAAAAAAAAAAAAAAAAAAAAAAAAAAAAAAAAAAACCACAAAACAAACCCACAAATATTTAAAATAACTTTTTGAAATTTATTATGTATTTGGAACAGCAGCCTTATAAGCTAGCACTAACTGATGAAGAGGATAAGCTGACATTACCTTGGATTTATAACAGCTTTTGAAAATTCAAGCTCAGAGGAATCTGAAAGGAAAAACAACAAAGTGCATCAAGAAGATGGGTCAATTAAAAATCCACGAGAGCTTTATGGAATTAGTGAAGGCAGCCACACACTGCTCCCTTTCTGGAAGCACTCCAATTCTTTAAATCAGATTAGGGTCAGTCCTAATTGTTTCAAGCAGAAGATGTGTGGTATTTATTTGCCGGGTGCCTTTTTTTTCTGACTGATTAGCTTCCTGAAGATTAGCTGCCAGTAATTTCTGAAATGGCTAATGTAAGGTAATTAGCTCACAGTGTGCTGCAGTTTGCACTGCCCAGGAGAAGAGTTTACCCATCTCAGCCAAGAGAAGGATTACAGAAGACATTGCAGAGAAAGAAAGTTAGCAAAGTTCCTGCAACATTTGATCCAGCTTTTTTCGAGATTTACCATATAAATATAGTAGGAAGAAGACTGGTATGGCCTAAAAAAGACTTAAAAACAAACACTACAAAGGGCTTCCAGAATGGTTTCCTTAAAAATAGTGTGGGGTCTCCCACCATTTTCATTCTCTGTAGCATTACATTTAATTTTTTTATGATGTTTACAGAGGAAGAACAGTGACACAGCCAGTGAGAAAACTGCACTTTTAAGGAGGTCTTACAGTATGCTTTATAAAAGTTTCTTCTGAAAGCAGGCTCAAGAAAAAACATCCTGGGGCCAAAAATGTGCTAACTAGGACATTGGAGAGATTTTAATCACAAAGCCTTAATAAAGAGAAGAGGAAGAAATTACAACTGTTCTACAGAAGTACATGATATGTTGGCTCCCAGTTTCAGAAGATAAAGGGAAAGTAAAGAGGAACAGAGGAAAAAGCAGGACTTTGAGGTTAAAGAAAGGGCCAGTTGCAAAGACCAGCTCCTCTCATTAGGTCCAACCACCACTTATGGTAAGTGAAAATCCCCTATAAATTCTTCAAGGCAGGTGACTAAGAAGCTGAGCAGCTATCACAAAAATCAGCTAAACATCCCCAATCCAATAATTATATTTTTTATGTTAAATATGCTGTTAATATATTTTCCATTTTGTTTCTCTGTTTGTGTTCTGTTACTGAAACCAAAAAGCTTTTGATGAATCTCCCAAGTGAAGCTGAAGCTTTGGTTACTCTCAGAACTGGGAATCTCATGGTGTAGTGCATACCATGAAAACTCACAAAGCTTTTACCCAAAAGCTTTTAGCTCTTGCAAAAGGCTCTTCCCCAAAAGCTTTTAGGGTGCTCCTTCACTAAGAATGGTTAACACAGGTTTCAAAAAGTGGTGTTTCCCATTAACTAAGTTCCCCCTGTCAGTCAGCAAGACATTGAGTGATACCTGAACACAGCCCAGGGCACAGGGGGCTCTGCCAAGTGCCTTCCAGCTCGGCAGGGATCTGCTGCACACAGTCAGGAGCTCTGCCTTTAAAGGATTTCTGCAGTGTTGAATTACAATAGGCAAGTAATGAACACCACCCAATTCCTATCCAATTTGCTTCTTCCCTAGAGGTACCTGTAGGCAGTGTTCAGGAAATATTTACAGGAATAGCTTACAAAAGTGGCCCATTTAAATACAGGGAATTAAATATATTCCCCACTGTTCAGAGGCATGAAGTTTTAACTGTGGTTCTCTTGTTCCAGCATGTCTCGGTCACCTTATTAAACTAGAGCAGAAGACTTGTAACACTTAAAGAGAAATTTTTTTCCCATAAATTTCACCTCAGTCCCTATTTTATTATTCACAAAACTTTTGGTTCTTCTTACATAAAACCCCTCGCACAATACGTGTCAACATACAGTGACTCAGTTAATGGGTAGGTGGGAATATATGACAGATAGGATTTGTTAATGGGAAACTTAATGAGAGTATCAAACAAAATACCTATTAGCATTAGGAAGGACTGAAATATATTTAAATTATTACCAAAAAAAAAAAAACAAGCAACATATTTAAATGTGAGATGACGAGTGAAAGAGAGAGTATTAAAAGTTACTTCACCATAGAAACATAGGATGTCATTGATACACAAGAATAGTGTGGCTGCCTTAAGCTATACCCAGCTACAAGTCTTTGGGCTGCTATAAATAAGGCTTGGTAAAGTTCTTGGATTGGAAGATAAAATGAACAGAGTTTTTAATCTCAGGAGAAAACATGGTTAAACATCATAATTACTGAGACCAGCTATTTTAATATTGTGTTAATTTTAATGACCTTATTCATCAAAAGACCTATGAAAAGGATGACTAAACCCTAAGTGGGGAGAATAAAATGTATTCTGCATAAACAACAAAGGATTTCAGGGATTCATGGCTCATGTTTAAAACTCAATACACAAAGTGATCTGACTCATAACTCTCTTCTCCGTAACGTTAGAAATCTAGGGAGATACTAAAAATCGTTAAGCAATGTTAGGGAGAGCAAAGGATTTAATTAAACCAGAGTGTAATCCTTTTAAGGAATTTCAAAGCTAGATCGGTGTCACTGTGCAGAGTCATTTGACTGGTTTCCTTTACTACCTCTCTTCCTTTTTGAGTTGTAATATCACTACATTAAACATTAATCACTTTAAATATACACATGCTAAATTCTTGTCAAGAATCTCATTATCTCACGTCTCAAACTGCAATATCTTCTCTGGGCTGCTGCTCTCCATTCAGATTGCTGCTGCAGAACAGGTGGCTTTCCAGTAGCTACAGCACAAGTGCCACAGTGGATAGGAACAGAGGAAAGCAGGGTTTCCTCTCCATGTCAATGTATCCTCCCTCTTGGAAGGGGTGTTTGAGGATGTCATGGCTATTTAGAAACCACCAACAGAACTATTTCCTCACACTCTCACAGAGCACTGGGTTAGGTGAGTTTTCATTAGCTTTTCACATTGATCTTCTCTGTGTTCTCTACGCTTTAATTGCCTGTTTAAGCTCCACAAGCTCCATCTACCCTGCCACGTGCAGATCCCTCGCTCCAGTAGCCAGATCCACAGGAGAGCTTCCTGGCACCTTTCTGTGATGAGTCTAACACAAATGTGCTTCAGCTAAATGTTTGCTAACTGTGTACAAACACACCTTTTGAGTTGAGAGATAACAGAAAACAAAAATCCCTGCAGAGCAGTGAGTGCACCGGCAGCCTGACAAAGGGCCCCAGGATCTGGGGCAAGTGTTATGACAATTAATGGAAATGTGGAATGATTGAGAACAAATGGAGAGCTCTCTCTTTTCCTATAATTGCTGCACTGGATCATGAAATTAAAGTCATCAAGTAGGAAAGATCCTGTACAGACTGCCTGTTCTGGCTAATTGTGTCAGCCTGGATTAGCTGATTAGCATAATTAATCTAAACTTCTGATTACCCAAAGGCAGGAGAGGTTCCTGGATGCACAGGTGAAATATAACGATTGAGACTTCCAGGAGCTAATACACAGTACTAGAAAGTGAGCATTTCAGAGCCCTGTTTGCTCGGCTCTTCCTTTCTAAAAGGTCTGAGGGGAATGAGGAGAGCTCTCTGTGCCCAGTCCAGCTCTTTTCTGAGGATACAGTGCTGGAATGTGTCCGAGACTGACTCAGGAATGACAAAAGAGCTGTGCCAGTCACCTGTACTTTGCTACTGCAGTATTATTAACAACTGTTTATAGTACAACAACACTTGGATCTCAGATCAAAGGTGAGTCCTTGTATGCCCTGAAATCACACAGAGGCCAGAGCAGAGACTTAAAGAAAAGAAGAAAAAGAAGCCAGGAAATGAGAAGAAAGAGGTTAAAACACTGAGCCTGTGCCACCACACTAGTCAAAGAACTGCAGTTGGACCCCAAGTGTCTTATAGCCTAGAAAAAATGTGACCCACAAGGTAAATCTGTTCTGTAGGTATAACACCATAAGAGCCCCTGCATTACATTCTTAAAAGAAATTTTCCCTTACTTTCAATAAATGGTTTATATTTTTACTCCACATTTGATCTCAGATCTAACCTAATCCTATCCTAAACAAAAGCAACCAAAAGCACAGGCTTTTGTATCTGGAAAAGAAGCCTAAAAAAACCCAAAAAGGAAAAAGGAAGATCCAGTAACTGTGATGATGTTCCAATAGAGTTCTGTAAAGTCACTCAAAGATTATTTTAAAAGCTCCAGATTGGGAGTTAATGGATACATTTAGAATTTTTTTATTCACAATCTGAGACATGTGTTGTGTTGTCCCCAGTAATAAGTCTGTAAAGCTTCAGCAACTGCAGCAACTGAGAAACAAACTTAAAACTTGATCGTTTTAATACTTTCTACTGTATCTGGAAGAAAAGGACAGATATATAAGTCATAATGACAACAAAATATAATACATATAAAATATTTCTTAAGAAAACATTATAATGAATTTTAATTGAGTGAAAGTTGCATTACTGGAAACCTTCTGTTTGTTCTCAGTATGGGCACTGATGATGAAACATTGCTTATTCCATCTCTCTTCCATTTTGCTTATTCTACTCTTCATCTCTCATCTGCAGAGAATAATTACAGGATTTTCACTTCAGACTCTCTGCTAATTCAATCCTTTGTTCTCTGTTGATAGTGCCAGGAAAGAGGAGGCTCACCAACTACAGATTGGACTGAAATGACAATTGTGTTGCCATGTAAGCCATTGTGCAATCAAGGCCAAGAAAATCCAACTTGTTATACTCCACTAGGAAAAGTCAGATTTGAGTGGTCATCGAATATACTAAGTACTTTTACAAGGTCCTTGTATTTTAGTTCCCCACAGTCCTTTTAAACAGGCTTATCAGTCAAAGAGAGTTTTCTATTTTATTGTCATTTTTTTAAAACCTTTTCAAACTCTTACAATATTTTGTCATTGGGCATGAACTTTTAGATAATGAAGATGAGATTTCATCCCACTGTAATGAACAACAAAGGAAAAAGATAAAAGACTCCTCCAGTACAGCTGGCTGGTGTAACACAGCCAGCACTAACACTTAAATAGTTTGCTGACGCCTCGTCCTGTTCCCGGGCAGACCAGGCCATCAGCCCTTCTGGA